AGGTGAGAATAACATCCAGAGTGGTTCTCTCCAATACACCAGATCTAAATAAACACTCTACATGTTATTCTTGTCTATTGTGAAGTCCTGATGGAGTGCTGACTGTTTGCTTTACTGGATATGCTTGATGTGGAGTGCAGATACCTACAATCATTGCTAGCTACATGTGTGAATCTCCGTGAACATTTCCCTTTTTTCCTTATTTTTCTCCCCAGCTACCTGGAAAGAGGGGTTTTGGCCCTGCTGGTTGGACTGTACAGGCCAAGATGGAAGTCTACATGTGGCTGGGCCTTACCAAGCAGCGGAAGGACTTTCTGAGTGGTCTTCCTTGTGGGTTTGAGGAGATTAAAGCCGCGAAGGGCCCGGGCCTACAGTGCTTCCCTCCTATCAGCCTCAGCTATACAAGTAAGAGCCAGCTAAACTATTTCAGATCTCTGTTCCTTCAAACACAATATAAGCTGCCTGCATGGGGAGGTGTATCTGAGGATTTATGTGGAATTGTCTTAGATTACACCTGACAATTTTTTTTTTCTGTGACCCCCATTGGAGACATTCTCTTTATTTTCTACCCTCCCCCCATGCCAGGGTGCTGGGTATCATCCTTGACTCGGACGTCACCTCTCTTCCCCACATCCAATCACTATCCAAATCCTGCCGCCTTCACCTTCCTAACATCTCCAAAATATGGCCCTTCCTCACCAATGACACCGCAAAACTACTCATCCACTCCCTTGTTATATCACATCTTGACTATTGCAACTCCCTCCTCATTGGCCTTCCACTACATAGGCTCCTCCCCCTTCAGTCTATCATGAAGGCTGCTGCCAGACTCATCCGCCTAACCAACCGCTCAGTATCTGCAACCCCTCTCTGCCAATCCCTGCACTGGCTTCCAATCGCCCAAAAGACAAAATTCTAAATATTAACAACCACTTACAAAGCCATCCACAACTCCGCCCCCGGCTATATCTCAAACCTTGTCTCTAAGTATCACCCTAACCGTCCCCTCCGCTCCTCCCAAGACCTCCTGTTCTCCAGCTCCCTTGTCAACTCCTCCCACGCTTGCCTCCAGGACTTCTTTAGAGTCTCCCCCATTCTGTGGAACACTTCACCCCAACCTGTCCGTCTATCTCCCACTCTGACTACCTTTAGGCGTTCCCTTAAGGCTCATCTCTTCAGGGAAGCCTATCCCACCTCAACCTAACCACTGAACCATCACATTCTCAAACAATTCATCCCCACACAGCTGCCTCCTCATGTATCACTGGCCCCTCCCTTTAAGATTGTAAGCCCCTACAATCTTACCATCTTGTCTTGAATTGTATTGTGATTGTGATGTCTTCCTTATATTGTAAAGCGCTGCGCAAACTGTTGGCGCTCTATAAATACTATGTAATAATAATAATAATTCTGTCAGGACAGGAAGTGATGGTAAAGTATCTACAGCAAAAACACTTTAATAGAGCAGCGAAGGTTTAGAACCTCATTTATGTTATTATTCCTGTCTGTATCTTCCCAGGGAAACTGCTCCCCTTATTTCTTGTCCTGCTCTCATAGGGAAAGGGTCATTATGTGGATCTTTAATTTTGTAACTCATCGTTTCTCTTCTTTATCTGTGTCTTCCAGAGAAACAAGTATTCCAGCTGCGTGCACACATGTACCAAGCACGCAGCCTGTTTGCAGCAGATAGCAGCGGTCTTTCCGATCCCTTCGCCCGAGTCTTCTTCAACACCCAGAGTCAGTGCACAGAGGTGAGTCAGAGACTCTGATTTGATTATGTCAGTTCAATTCATTGAGATGGAATCTTTCACAGCCAGTCCACCCCTTTGGCAGTTTCTGGCTCGTTAAATCACACGTTCTTATGTCTCTCCTGGATTCTGGTGTTAGAAACTCTGCTTTTGAGCTCACCATTTCAAGGGGCCTCATTTGGCCCTGTATTCTAGTATTTGGATTGGTTCAACAAAATAGAGCTCTGTAAAAAAAAAAGAAGCACATTGGTATATGTAAGGTCGCTACCGCCATGGTAATGAGAGATAGCCTTCAAATGGGTTTAATACAGGGGTGCCCACAATTTTTTGTGTTGAGATCTACTTTTCAAATGACGAGCTACATGAGATCTACCAATGAAAAAAAACTCCCTCGCTCTCTCTCTCCTGGCTGTCTCTCCTTGCTCTCTCTCCTGGCTGTCTCTCCTTGCTCTCTCTCCTGGCTGTCTCTCCTTGCTCTCTCTCCTGGCTGTCTCTCTCCTGGCTGTCATTCCTCGTTTTCTCTCCTAGATGTCTCTCTTTGCTCTCTTGGCTGTCTCTCCTCTCTCTCTCCCCTGGCTGTCTCTCAGCACTCTCTTTCCTGGCTGTTTCTCCTCTCTCTCTCCCCTAGCTGTCTTTCTTCTCTCCCCTAGCTGTCTCTCCCAGCTCTCTCTCCTGGCTCACCTTGCTGTATTTTGCTGTGTAAAGTAATATTCTTTGATGTAATACATGGCACTTCAACCACCAGTATCCACCAGAAAGGTGTCAGGGAGCTCGGCTCAGCAGACTCAGGCTAATAGGTAGTCATGTGTGCACAGCGCAATAAATATACCAAAATGGAATAAAGGGGCCGCCATTCACACCCTTCCTGATCTACTAGCATCAGCTCTGAGAGCTACTGCTAGATCACCATCTACCTAATGGGCACCCCTGGCCTAATAGGTGTGCCGTCCAAATGCTCCATTCCACTTACTCCAATGTAGCTCCTCACACATCCATCAGGACTGGATCCTTGGCATGTATTGGGTAAAAACAAGAGGGCACCAGTAGAGTAAATGAATTGTATTTGCTAAGGCACTAAAACAGGTGAGAGGATGCACAAACAGGATATCCACAATATTCATAGCTTCTGTGCTTTAAGGCAACTTCTTTCTTGCAGGCCTCATGCACACATAGGGTGGCTGGGCAGAACACGATCCTTCAGAGTAAAGGTTGTGGTGTCGGCGTGACTACTCTACTTGCAATTGCAGCTCAGCCGAGAAGGTTCTAGTGTCTCATTCTCTTTGTTAGCCAGTTCAGCTTCACTTTTTCTATATGGGCAGCTGTAGGTGCTTCCCTCTTAGCCCTCATTCACACGAGTAACAGCCAGCCCGTACTGATCCGTATCGGGCTGCTCCCGGGAACGACAGGTACTGCGTGTGATTACACGCAGCAGCCTGTTCTTCTCTATGGGAGTACGCGGCCATATACCGCCCTATGCTCACCTGCACTGCACGTCTGTTACTCGTGTGAATGAGGGCTAAGTTGCAGTGGATCTCAATATCTAAGATGCTCCAGTCTCAGGGCAGCTGTCCCAGTTATGGAGAGTGCCCAGCCAGAACTCTTCTGGATAAAGGCAGCATCAGCACAGCTCGTTCTGGACAGGAACCCAGGGGGAAAGGAACTCAGCACACATCCCACTGAGCAGGTGCCCAGAGGAAAAGAGGAAACTCTGAAAGGTTGTTCTAAATATGTATTGATTTCCACCATCTTACACCACTGGGCTAGCTGCTCAATGATTGGCTGGAAGAATAAATATTTATGACTTTATAAACCCTTTTCACACAGTCTACTGAAGTCCACTGAATAGTAGTCAAGTGGCTTAATAAATATACCAAAATGGAATAAAGGGGCCGCCATTCACACCCTTCCTGATCTACTAGCATCAGCTCTGAGAGCTACTGCTAGATCACCATCTACCTAATGGGCACCCCTGGCCTAATAGGTGTGCCGTCCAAATGCTCCATTCCACTTACTCCAATGTAGCTCCTCACACATCCATCAGGACTGGATCCTTGGCATGTATTGGGTAAAAACAAGAGGGCACCAGTAGAGTAAATGAATTGTATTTGCTAAGGCACTAAAACAGGTGAGAGGATGCACAAACAGGATATCCACAATATTCATAGCTTCTGTGCTTTAAGGCAACTTCTTTCTTGCAGGCCTCATGCACACATAGGGTGGCTGGGCAGAACACGATCCTTCAGAGTAAAGGTTGTGGTGTCGGCGTGACTACTCTACTTGCAATTGCAGCTCAGCCGAGAAGGTTCTAGTGTCTCATTCTCTTTGTTAGCCAGTTCAGCTTCACTTTTTCTATATGGGCAGCTGTAGGTGCTTCCCTCTTAGCCCTCATTCACACGAGTAACAGCCAGCCCGTACTGATCCGTATCGGGCTGCTCCCGGGAACGACAGGTACTGCGTGTGATTACACGCAGCAGCCTGTTCTTCTCTATGGGAGTACGCGGCCATATACCGCCCTATGCTCACCTGCACTGCACGTCTGTTACTCGTGTGAATGAGGGCTAAGTTGCAGTGGATCTCAATATCTAAGATGCTCCAGTCTCAGGGCAGCTGTCCCAGTTATGGAGAGTGCCCAGCCAGAACTCTTCTGGATAAAGGCAGCATCAGCACAGCTCGTTCTGGACAGGAACCCAGGGGGAAAGGAACTCAGCACACATCCCACTGAGCAGGTGCCCAGAGGAAAAGAGGAAACTCTGAAAGGTTGTTCTAAATATGTATTGATTTCCACCATCTTACACCACTGGGCTAGCTGCTCAATGATTGGCTGGAAGAATAAATATTTATGACTTTATAAACCCTTTTCACACAGTCTACTGAAGTCCACTGAATAGTAGTCAAGTGGCTTAAGCTACCAGCATCCACCAAACACTACAATACCAATTTCGGGTGCCTTAACCCTTTAAAGTTACCTCCCAAATTGATCAATTCTAGGTTCACCATCCAGTAAAAATATTATTTCCTAATTTTTGGTAATCCACCATTTCAGGTGCTGAATGAGACTCTGTGCCCGACATGGGACCAGTTGCTGGTTTTTGACAATGTGGAGCTTTACGGAGAAGCCTGTGAGATGCGTGATGACCCTCCCATCATTGTCATTGAGATCTATGACCAGGATACCGTGGTAAGACCATCCGTCTGTTATAAATGATATTACAACGTTATATTGTACAGGTTCGAGGTTGTAATTTAGGGCAGCATATTAAAAAAAATGTATATTCTGATAAAAACTCATATAAAAAGATGGGCCAAAAGAGGCGTGTGTGTATCCAATAATTATTCCTGGCCAGTAACCACACACAGTGATACACTATATGGCCAAATGTTTGTATACACGTGATCTTTGCACATACAGTATATGAGCTTGTTGGAACATCCCATTCCATGGCCATTAATAAGGAATTGAGGCTATACAGGGTGGGGAGTTTTAGTAGGATTAACTGTACACCCGAACTCAATCGTTTAAAGCTGAAATCTGGGATCAGCAAATGTTATCTAAATACAAATTTGTATTTTTACTTGAATCTTGGTGGGTTCTGTGTATTTCTTCCAGATCTATGTGAAACTTGGAGCCTTCTGTAATAAAGACCAGTCACTGCTGCTCTCTTTCCTTGTGTAGGGTGACTGGTCTTGTCTCCGCCCCCTCCTGTAATAAAGACCGGTCACTGGTGCCCTCTCCTTGTGAAGGGTGACTGGTCTTGTCTCCATGGATGAGCCATCATCAACAGAGAGTTAATTAAATTAAACTGGCTTAGCACTTCAGAGCCTCTCTTTAAATATATCCAAAGCCAAAGCTATTGTTATTTTATCTTTGAATAGAGAAGGGAAAGGTTAAAGGAGAACTATGGGACAGGGCTTTTCCCCATAGTTCTCCTTAGGGTAAGGGGAGGACACAAACTAGCGTCCTCCCGTCACCCTAAGCTCAGTATACCGCGTGCTATATCTCGCGGTATACTGAGACGCCGCAGCTGAAGCGGATCCCGACTATTATGTCTGGATCCGCCCAGCTGCGTGAGTGACAGCTGGCTCTGCATATCTAGAGGCCCCCTCCCCCGTCCGTTCCGCCAGTCAGCGATGGAGGATCGGAGCGGGGAGGGGGGAATCAAGTGCCTCCCCTGTCACGGCTCTGTGCCATGACAGGATCGAGAAGTGAGCGAACGCCGGGATGTGTTCGCTCACCTCCCGATCTACTGAGCCGACCTGTGACAGTTTCATTGTCACAGGTCGGCTAGAACTATGAGGATGAGTGAAAAGCACTCACCTCATAGTTCTCCTTTAAAGCCCTCCTCAACGTTTATTTTCTGCCTGTGTACGATTTCAGCGGTTTTCCTTAGCTAGTAGTCACCTAAAGAAAAGTCCTAATTGGAACATTCCCCCTGTGTTACTGTTTTTGGTAACACCACAAACTTTACAATTTGAATTAAAAAAATTCTCAGGGACATCATTGAGAAGGTTCTCACACCTCACCACTCTATCCACAAAAAAATGGTTTTAGAAACTGACTAAAGTGAAGTTGTACTTACACTATATTTTGGTTTATTTAATAGTACCCCACCATGTTTCTTGAATCTGTGGATACGTAACTTCTGTTTGCTCATCTGCATGCCGTTTGACAGGCTAGATCCAATTGAGATACCCAGCACTTCCTGGCATGGGGGAACATGAAACTCCCTAGCCTTCCTCCGTCAATGCAACTCTGGGTATCTAAGCAGTACTTGCCTTTTATGGGGGAACATAGGACTTTCTCATCTTTCTCCCACAATGCAGCCAGTCTCCAAGCCTGAGCGCTGTTCCAGGAGGGGGGATTACATAGCAATGTGTATGTTCCAACCAGACCAACTTAGAGCTTAGCAATGGATTTTCTATTCAGCTTCAAAAGGGTGAAGGGTTTGGAGAAGGCCGGAGAAGAGAACAATCTAGGCCAAAATAGCTGATTTGGAAAAATTCTCCAATTTAGCTCACTTTCCAGCTCAGCGATGTTGTCCTAGATTGTTCACTTCTCCGGCCTTCTCCAAACTCTTCACCCTTCTGTGAATAACCTTGTTAATGTCTGATGAAATATGTGATGACTTGCAAAGCTAAAAATATAATTTGATAAGGAAAGAAGACCCAGCCTATTGTCCCCATTAGATGTTCCCTCCTATGATCTTGGCCTATGTGACCTGCCCACTGATCTGGGCCTGATTACAATATCACCGTGTTTCAGGGAAAGGCGGACTTCATGGGCCGGACGTTTGCAAAGCCAGTGGTGAAAATGGCTGATGAGGGATACTGTCCACCGAGGTTCCCACCACAGCTAGAGTATTACCAGATATACCGTGGGAACTCCACCGCGGGGGACCTTCTGGCTGCCTTCGAGCTCCTCCAGGTATGAGCCAATCTCTGGCTGAAGTTCCCAATCCAATGCTGAACGAAGATAATGTTGCTGTTATGGCTTAATTTCACAAATGTACACCAACATGACACTGAACTCAGTGATTTGTTAAACATAAGAAGATTCATGAGGAAATCTGTAACAGTTTTAGAAAGCGGATTTGTAAAAATATGTATAGTTAATAAAGAGGAACAATTAGATGAGCTTTACCGGTCTTAATTAAACGTCTGCACTGGGTACCAGGGTGACTCTTCGCCCGACTAAACACCATCATTTGGTTGTGACCTCCTCACATGTAAAGAGCCTAAATAAATACTGCTTTGCCTCAGCTTCACTCTCCAAGTTCTTTGACCTGTGTATATTGTAACATGGGGGCTGGAGGGCATGCCTAAGATTAATCAGTTATCAATTTTCACAAAGTCGGCATTTACATAGTTACTTCTACAAGGTCCAGTGGGGCTCTGTTGAGGGACACGGGATACTGGTACCATTTGAGAGGTTGTCTTGCCTAAAATCGAGAAGGAACTTAGTTGTAACTTGATTCTTAATGTGAGTTAAATAGACTTTAGGTTTACAAGAAAAGCTGACTATAGACATATTTTTATACCTCGATCACTTTATAAATGTTGTTTTCCTCTTGTAGATTGGCCCATCTGGAAAATCTGATCTTCCGCCTATTGATGGTCCAACAGACATGGAGAGAGGACCCATCCTTCCAGTCCCAATGGGCATCCGGCCTGTTCTCAGTAAATACAGAGTTGAGGTATGGGCCATATGTTGTATTATTATATAGGATGTACTGTATGGTGTTCTGTTTCATTAATTAAATTCAGAGAGTTTTCCTCCTACTCAACAGCTTTAGCCTTCCCTCTGATCAGCACTTTTCACCGCACTGGGTCTGCTATTTTAAACAAGCCAATCCACAGTACAATAAAATGTTGATTGGTTGATTTGGAATAGAACAATACCCCCCAATACACTCATCAGCTTCCATGTTTTTAAAGGGTTTGTGCATCCAAAGATGGTTTAGTCTATTTTTAGTTGTTATGTGTAGATAAAGTCACTGACCACCAATCCATACCTTATACCTCATATGCTGTCAAACCCATTCATAATCTCTACATAAATGAAAGCTTAGTGTGTGATTGAGAGAACATTGCAACTTTCTCTCATAACCAGTGCTCATTTCGCTCTGCTAATTATTTTCGTCAACAGCACTCTGTCAGTGACTAAAACTAAATAAAAACTACGTTATGATGACTAAAATTAGGAATGCACCGATACCGGTTTTTCGGTATCGAGAACGAGTACCGATATTTTTTTTCGGTACTCGCAGATACCTAATACCGATACCAGAAGTCCCATGAAGGAAGCTACATAGTTACATAGTATTTGAGGTTGAATAAAGACATTAGTCCATCAAGTCCAACCTATAGGATCTCATTCTTAGGAGTACTTGTACCCCTGTATATTACCTGTACCCCTGTATATTACCTGTACCCCTGTATGTTACCTGTACCCCTGTATATTACCTGTACCCCTGTATGTTACCTGTACCCCTGTATGTTACCTATACCCCTGTATATTACCTGTACCCCTGTATATTACCTGTACCCCTGTATATTACGGTCCCTCAGGAAATCGTCCAAAAGTTTTTTGAACAATTCCACACTCTTAGCTCAAATCACTGCCTGTGGCAGTGAGTTCCAGACCCTAAGCGCTCTAACTGTGAAGAACCCCCTTCGCCCCTTGTGCTGGAATTTTTTTTCCACCAATTTTAGGTGGTGGCCTCTGGTTTTTGTAATGGAGTTAATTTTAAATAGTTTGTCGCTAATGTTGCTCCCACCATTGAACATCTTGTACATGGAAATCATATCCCCCCTTAATCTCCTCACCTCCAATGTGGAAGCGAGGCGGTATGTAACAACTCCTCACCTGGCTTCCTGATTAGCATGGAAGCCATCTCCTTGCTCTCTCGTCACCAAGTGACGAGGAAGAATGGAGCCGGCTTTCTGTCCAATTAGGAAGCCGGGTGCTGTGTAATGACTTGTTGCCCAGCTTGTTCCTGATTGGTTGAAGCTGGCCAATCAGGAAGCCGGGCAACGAGTCATTACAAGGCGCCCGGCTTTCTGATTGGCTGGGAAGTCGGTTCTATGCTTCTTTGTCACCAGAAAGCCGGGGGTTGGCTAATGACTCGCCATCCGGCTTCCTGATCGGCCGGCTTCCTGAGCAATCAGGAAGCTAGCCGGCACGTCATTGCCTGGCTTCCTGATTGGCCGGGGAGCCAGCTCCACGCTCCCTCGTGACCAAGTCACGAGGGAGCATGGAGTTGGCTGCCAGCCAATCAGGAAGCTGGGCAGCGTGTAATGACTTGCTGCCCATCTTCCTGATACCAGAAGCTCAGGTATCGGCCAAGCATCGGAGCATTTGGGCAAGTACGAGTACTCGCCCAAATACTCGGCATCGGCACCAATACTAGTATCCGTATTGGTACATCTCTAACTGAAACTGTAACGAAAATATATTGACATTTTAGTCAACTAACTAAAACTAGACTAAAATGTTAGGGCGAGACGATTTGGGAAGAGATCCAATCAGAACAAATCTTTTTGGACTTACAGTTCCGGTTACATCCTGAATGGACGGCTAATAGGTAATATGTGCAATGGGATTACAGCCAATATAGTTTTTCATGTTAATATTTTAGAGTTGCACTTCTGCTTGAAAGAATGAAGAATGTCATATGCGTGTTGGTATAATCAATGCAGATCTAATTACTGGTCCTTGGTAGAAAATACTCAATATTATTGGTTTTATCCAATTTTAGGATAAATTGGGACATAAAGACATGTTATATATCCCAACAGTTAAATCTGTGTCTGTATTGCATGTTCAAACCTTAATGCCATAAGTAATAGGATAGCAGATGTTTACTCCGGGAGTATATCATGAGATTGGAAATTCTAGAGGAATCCTTAAATTAGTCTTTAACCACTCGCTGCCCAGAGCAATTTCTTACACTTGCGCACACATGATAAAATATAAACTTTTGGCTAGAAAACAGCTTCAGACCCCCCCAAACAATGATATATTTTATGAAAGCAGAGGCCCTGTAGAATAAAAAGATGCTAGCTGCAATTTTTTTATGTCGCACGGTATTGGCTCAAATGTTTATCAACATTTTGGTAAAATATAAAAGACGGGGTCACGACGGGTAAATAGATACAAACATGTCAAGTGTTAAAATTGCGTGCGTCCATGAAACCGCAAAAAAACTACAATAACCAAAATTTCTCATAGGCGACGCTTTAAAACATTTAGGCCCATCAGTTTAGTGTTATCAGTGATTGATGCCTGCAGAATTATTGCTCTCACTGCGACGCTCACGACGATATGTAACACGTGTGGCGCAATTTTTGTTTTTGCACGTAGCAGCATCCGACGCGTGTTTGCCTTGTAAGTGCGTGCACGTGGGGCGTGGGGGACTTTAAAAATGTTTTGTTTTGCATACTTTTTTTGTATGTTACTTTTTTTATACACTCAGCTTTGTTGATATTGCATAGGGGGATAACAAGCCCCCTACGTAATAGTAAATATAATGTGACAGGACCTCTTTATAGAGACATCAGGGGTCTTTCAGACCCCTAATGTCACCTAGGGACCCCAAAGAAGCTGATAAAGCACAGATCTGCTTCTTCTTCTGGCTCTAGGAGCTGGATACTGTGCCCAGTGACACTGGAAGTGATGTGATACACATCACTTCCGGGTCCAGTGATCGTATGATATTTAGTCATGACTAAAACTAAATGGGAATTTGTTGTCACAATGAACACTGCTCATAACTTATCTTTTGTTAAAGAAATATAATCTAAAATGCTGGCTACACTACGACATCCACATTATAACATCTGCTGACAAGCTTTCTTTATCTTTCATTAGATTGTAAGCTCCTGTGGTAAGAATTCTCATTGTTATTGTTTCATGCATTTGTTTATGTGTTTAATGATACTGTTATGTATTATGTGAAGATGTCGATGCCATAAAAATAAAGAATGATTATAGTTTCATCTATAACAGCACTGATCATAACATTTCTCTCTCCAGATCCTCTTCTGGGGACTGAGGGACCTGAAGAGAGTGAATCTTGCCCAGGTGGACAGGCCGAGGGTGGACATTGAGTGTGCGGGGAAAGGAGTCCAGTCCGCCCTCATCCAGAACTACAAGAAGAATCCGAACTTCAGCACTTTGGTGAAATGGTTTGAAGTGGTATGTGGACAGAACATAAAGGAACAAGTATATAAATGTGGAGACAGAGGCTATTTTTTCAATGTTGGGCTCATTAGAAGCTCAGTCATTTAGTGGCTGCCTGTCCATGTTTGGTGGATAGAAAGCTTTCCAATCTTGGACATTGTATGCATAGAGGTTTTTTGTATTCTTCCATGGCCCAAATATCTACTGGCTTCCACACACAAGTTGGCCCAAGTGTGTATGTCTGAATGACCTTAGGCTGCTTTGAGGGTAGATACTGATGTAGTTGCAGTTGGCCTCTACATGGTAGTTGGCACATAAATGAGACAAAAAATTGTAAGCTTTGCTGAAATGTTGTGGTTGATTGCCTTGATCATAACACCACCCAAGATCCCTTCGGCAAAAAATATGCTATTGGTAGCTAGTCTAATGTTATTTTTACCTTATTAAAGCCCTAATATAAGGAAGTTACCTAGGAATTGACTGTGGACAGGCCTGTACTTGTATTGAGCTAAAAAAAAAAAGTATTTAAACTTGCAGCATATGTAAAGAACAAAGTCAAAATAGTAGATCCCCCTCTTAGACCGCTCACTATCTGCAACGCCCCCTCTGTCAATCCCTCCCCTGGCTTCCAATACCCCAAAGGATACAATTCTAAATATTAACAATGACTTACAAAGCCATCCACAACTCTGCCCCCGGCTATATCTCCAACCTTGTCTCAAAGTATCACCCCAACCGTCCCCTCCGCTCTTCAAATGACCTCCTGCTTTCCAGCTCCCTCGTCAACTCCTCCCATGCTCGCCACCAGGACTTCACTAGAGTCTCTCCCATCCTATGGAACTCTCTACCCCAACCTGTCCGTCTATATCCCACTCTGACTGCCTTTGGGCGATCCCTTAAGACTCATCTCTTCAGGGAAGCCGATCCCACCTCAACCTAACCACTGAACCTTCACATTCTCAAACAATTCATTCCCCACACAGGTACCTCCTCATGTATCATTTCTCCCTCTCTTTTAGATTGTAAGCCCTCAGGGGCAGGGCCCTCCTTACCGTCTTGTCTTGTATTGTATTGTGATTGTAATGTCTTCCTTATATTGTAAAGCGCTGCGCACACTGTTGGCGCTATATAAATCCTGTATAATAATAATAGACATTTGGTCACCAGGACAAATATGGAGACAGTGAAACTTCATAGCGAGGACATAGATAGTAATACAAAGTTTAGGATGTAGAAGAAAGGTGTGAGGAACTGGATCTCTTTATGTTCTCAGTCAGGTCTTAAGCAGTGTAGATTGAATGATTGTCCTAAGCTAGCTCCCCCAAGGAGTGGTGGTTGAAGGTCGGCTCTTTGCTTGAGTAAGGATTGGGTGTGCAAGAAGAAAAGAGCCAAAAGCAGGATACGATCTGATACAAGTGCAGATGGAACTTTATTCAGACTCTTATGTCATAACAAGCCAACATGTTTCAGGAGTTTAAAGTGTCCCCCTTCATTAGTACCTGGCGCTATTAAACAAAGTGTGTATTGACTGACAACATTTAAGGGATCCTAAGGGGTAATTAGACTGATGGTTACTATAGATGCCAGTTAACCAACACCTGGAGCAACCATATTAATAACCCCCCCTCCAATTTTATAAGTCCAATACACTTATTCAACAGTACCAAGCCCAGACAAAGGGGAACCTTCAAACCCCCGAAACACATTTTTATGGATTTTTATGACATAAGAGTCTGAATAACATTGTATCAGGACAGGTATTGACACTGTGACAGTAATCTGTGTTTAACTTTGAGGAATTGTATTTGTCATTTTACAGGATCTCCCGGAAAATGAGCTGCTTCACCCTCCTTTGAATGTTCGTGTGGTGGATTGCCGTGCCTTTGGCAGATATACCCTGGTGGGCTCCCATGCTGTCAGCTCACTGCGTAAATTCATCTACCGCCCCCCGGACAAGAAGTCTCAGCAGTGGAGCACCTCCGGTAAGGCTACTTCAATGTCTCATTTATTTTATTCTCTGACCTAATGATTGGGGTCTGATCTATAGAAACAAAATCCTGATACAGTGGTGACAAAAGGGGGGTGCCGGGTGGTGCGGCCTGCATCGGGGTGCCACCATTGGAGGGGTGACACCAAAATGAATGACAGTCATTTTGGTGTCACCCCCCTATGAAAAGTCGGGCACTCGATCATGGGCCGAGAGCCTGACAGTGCCAGTAGAGAGGAGGGGGCCCGGTGGCATACCTCATCCCACTGGGTGAACGTCCCCTCCTCTCACTGCTGGCGTTTAGCACCAAGATGGCCGCCGGCAGGCATCAATCAGATGGCCGCACATGCACGATGATGTCATCGCGCGTGACGGCGGGGTGACACCCGGCCTCGGGACGCCCCTGTCCTGATAGTACAGCTTTAAAGCTGCACAAATATACACTTGATAACAGGAAAAGTTTTTTTGTATAGAGCAATATTGTGAGTGACCATCCCCCCATCCTTCCCCTACTGTTATAAGAAAATGGTCTTCATCAGAGGGTGCTCACTGCGACACCCAGCACTGGAAAAATGCTTGTTTTTTTCTTAAAGTGAGAAACCTTCATTTTCTTATGGCCCGGCTTCAGCTTTTGCTTGTCCCCGAGTGGCATCCACCTACCTAAAATATTCAGCGTCTTTACTGTGCAGAAAAAAGTCCCAGCCATACCCGGCTCCCAGTTCGCATACACACTGCTTACTCTACTCAGTCCTATGGCTGGTCCATACTCATGGTGACCCCAACCAGGGAAGGACAAAAGGACAAGATTTCGGGGGTGGGACTGAAGGTATGTTTAAGGTAGGTGGCTGCCGCTCAGGTTGGTGGGGGAAAGATTTAAAAGACAACTTCACTTAAAGAAATCCTTTGCATATATTTCAGTGTTTGGTAGAGGTTGGAGAATTAAACCTCCTCAAAGTTTATTTTATCTTTTGGGGACTCTTATAGTAAGATTGGAGTTCCCAGGTCTGCACACTTGCTGTGCCCATTATGAGGGGCTCCCACCATCCCTGTGCTGAGTACCCGGGTCTGTACACCTGCTGTGCCCATTATGAGGAGCTCCCACCATCCCTGTGCTGAGTTGCCGGGTCTGTACACCTGCTGTGCCCATTATGAGGGGCTCCCACCATCCCTGTGCTGAGTTCCCGGGTCTTTACCCCCGCTGTGCCCATTATGAGGGGCTCCCACCATCCCTACTGGGTTTATTTATTTTATATAATGGAGAATGTAACAACAGGAGCTGGAACAACTGGAGATGAATGAGGATGGGAAAACCTAAAACTCCAACTAGGCCGGGAAAATGTATATGAACAATAAGAAGATCTCATCACTACAGTCCCGAAAAGACCTGTGGGTGACTTGGGCCATCAGACTGCAGCTATTACCAAAATATGATATATAAAGTAGTAGAGTAGAATGTCCATTACTTCTACTGCACTCTGACTTATGTTATTTTTTTATATAATTGCTGATTGCCCAGAAGTTACCATTTTTATTTCTGCCTCATTTCCAGTCTACGCATGCGTTTTCTCCTCTGACTCAGCACTGTTGTGCGCGCTGTGACTTTTTTCTGCATTATCTCTCGTCTTGAGACTGTGCTGTGCTCTGTCCTTTTCTGTCCTCTGTCTAGCTAAATTGATGAATGGCATTATGGCACTGGCCAACGGAGGGCCCTACTCTCGCCCCACAGGTGAAATTGTCGTCAATATGGAGCCTGAGGTGCCCATTAAGAAGATGGAGACCATGGTCAAGCTAGAGGCGGTGAGTGACCAGATGCTGATGGCTTGGAAGAAGTATAAGTGCCTTAGTTGTTTTTTTATAGGGGGTTTCTGCTGTATCTGATCATTTATCCAATCCTCTCTCAAACCTCATGATTGAAGAGTAGAGGTTCTGTATCTGCCAATATTTTAGTTCTTGTGTTATAATTCACTTACCAGGATCCCCATCCCATTGTGTCTGATCTATGTGGATGGTTAGCAGGTAGTAAGAGTCAGGATCCTTTAGGATAACTGATTGTAAAGAGTTTGGACAGCTTGTCACGTACCTTGGTGAGCCTTAAGTGACGAGGAAGGCCTTCCCTTGCTGCTCTGAGCCCCACTGGAGATGGAACAGTAGTTGTGCAGACAGAGAGGGGCGCGAGTGCCTGTGGCTGGTATGACTGCTTGACACTCTGGATAGGCTGATGCTGACAACAGGATGCCAGAGACAGCTGGTGGACGATGGCAGATCAGATGACACTTGTGTGAGAGGCTGAGGCGTAGTCAGGAACAAGCCACATCGGTAACGTGCGGTCAGCGTGGTACATAAGCAGGAGACAGGAGCGGAGTCAAGAGCAGGCCCGGTCATACACTTGCAAGCAGGATGGTACCAGATCAGGAAGCAGAAGAATGGTCAGGGACGAGCCGAGGTCACAAGGCAGGCAGCAAGCAGGCAGAGTCGGGAATCAAGCTGGGTCAAATGGATCTCAGGGTCGGAATCACAGATGCAGAGTACAGCTGAAGATCTCTCAGCAAGGTGCAGATGCAGGAGCCATCTTTAAATAGCCTGCCTGGCGCCAAAGACATGCGTGTGCACGTTACTTGCATGTGCACGTTGTTGCGCGTGTACATGAGCATCGTTTTCGCGCATGCGCATTACTAGCACCGTGGTGCCAGAATACGCGCATGCGCATAGCTTCGTGCAGAGATCCGGGCAGAAGCTGTACTATGGGTGCTGGCTGATGTACCCTGACACAGCTGCTATAGAGCAGATCCCACCACAGATGTGACATTACACTATATGTACACCTCACCATCAAATCTACTAAATGGCCAAAAGTCTGAGGATTCCCCTCCAAATTGTTGGTGACAGGTGTCTCCACTGACAGGTCCTGGTAATGGTACTGCATGCAAATACATTTTAGACAATTGT